GCAAGAGCAGTTGGTGATACCCATAGACAAATCATATGTGCGCACTATACATAGTTTAACCAACGTTGTCTTTTTATAGAACATATTTTCGAGAAATGGGTGTCTGTGCAGTGAATTTGGCAACATTAAGCCTTTTATAAGCATGCACAATACGCCACTTACCGTCAGGCTCTTTGACACAAAATGTCAAAGGATGTGGTGGTGGCGGGAACACCTGATCCAGTTCGAATGTCGGATCGGCTTGATGTTCAGAAACATACCGTGTAACCCATCATTTACACGACGACCTGGCTCATGAACAGAATCGGCATTATGAACTTCGTGAACTTGTAAAGCATCCTTACAATTCCTTAGCGCACGATCGTAGGATCGACCCGTGCCGCGTTTGCGCTTCGAGCAACTGGAGAACGAACGTTCTGCTCGTTCTCTTCGTGATAGCTGGCTGCAGCCCGTCGAGACATCGCTCAACTGCGTGAGCAGGTCGCTTCGCTAGTCGACCGGACTGGCTCGTTGAAACGGGACCACTCGAAGGTGGTCTCGGCTCTCGACCGTGGAGGTGTTCTTCGCATCTCGAAACGGCCTCGTACTGATAGTAAGGGTGGAGACGTCCAACGTTAAAAGTAGGATGCGTGCGCATCTCAAGGGGCAGTTCAATCGTGTATGCGTTGCCCATTCGGCGTAACACAAAAAAGGACCGATATACCTGGGCAGTAATTTACTGCTGCCCACGTTTGTCACTGCGTGCTTCAATAAGTGTACTGTAGACAGCAAAACTAGGTCTCCTTCGTCAAATGAAAGAACATTTGCTCTTCCATGTCTGTCTGCTTTTCTGTTCTGTTTGTCGATTGCATTTGCATTGCAATAGAGTCTTGAAAGAAGCGGACGACCGCTTCGCGAGTCAGCAGAAATCCCTCTGCTGATTCATCCTTGCCATTGACAGCAGTGCGCTTCGTGTGTACTGCTAAAAGAACGTTGTCTTCACGAGTGAGGGTGTCATCGTCCTCACTTTGGCGGGCGTTTGGTGATGCTAATTATTCCAGCATCGTCGTCACCTTTATCATCGATTTCGATGTGATCGACATCGGCATCCATCACGTCGACACCATTGTCGACGTGTGATAAGCAAGAACCAGATCGGATTTCTTTCGAGCGATTCCACCCTCCCCTTAAACTAGAGTCACACTTTAAGAAGGCGGGTAAACGTGGATGGCGTAGGCCAATCACTCAGAACGGTGAATACGTTGTAGACGCGTGCACCGAGTTATTGATGGAGAATTCCGCCATCGGCAAAAACTCACTCCAGCTCGTAAACGAGTGGACATACCCTCGATTTATCTCTTCGAGAACGCGGTTGACGCGTTCCGTTTAACCAACTGTTTCTGGATGGTCAGAAGCTGACATCGTCAAACGTGTTCCAAGTGAACGAAACACGGACTGCCAGAACTCCGCTGTGAAGCGGGGGTCCCTATCAGACACGAGTTCACGGAGTAACCCGTGAATTCGGAAGATAGTAATGATGAAGACACGCGCACAGCCCTGGGCTGTGATTGACTCTGGTACAGCAACATGATGTACCATCTTGCTGAACCAATCAACAAACACAAGAATACCAGTATTCTTGTGGACGTCTTTGGGAACCCCCCCGAAAAAAAGTCTATCGATGCGGACTGCCAACAGTCTGCGGGAATCGGGAGAGGCTGTAAGGGTGCGCGGGATGAACGACTAGGCTTCACCCGTTGACAAACTTCGCAAGCGCGAATGTATTTCCGCACAAACTCGTACTGGCGTGGCCAGTAGAATTCACGACTAATTATGAGGTAAGTCTTTTCTCTACCGCGATGCCCACTTGTTGGGGCATCGTGACAATCATACATGCTGCTAAATCGCAATTCAGCACGAGCCGGGACGACGACACGAGGTGTGTGCGCTGTTGACTGCTGTATAGTACAGCAGTCCATCACGGACAGATTACCGTTCGGTTGAAGAGCGGTATTGAGACGACAAGCTTTTCAAAGCTTGATTACACGGATTGGACACGTAACCCATCAACCGCAGAAGAGACTTATCTTCTGTGTACGCTTTTCGCACGTCGAGCAGATTCGACGAAGGAACACCCACTGATAGTATCGCGACAATGGGATCACCCCTACTGCTGAATTGAGCAGTTAGCTCGAAATCGGGCCGGCGCGAAAGAGCAGGAGCGACAACATTAAGTCGTCCGGGTCCATACTCGACTGAGGAGTTGTACTCCGCAAGGAAAGACAGCCACCTCGCCGTTCGCTGCGAGAGGTGTGGACTGTTAACGGCCGTGCGTAAAGGCGCATCGTCGGTCTAAACTATAAAGAGCCTATCTCCTAAAAGATGTAACCGATACTTGGCCAGTGCATATTTCATGGCAAGGATTTCCTTGTCATGCACCGGATAATTTCGTTCTGCTGCTTGCAGCTGACGCGATTGATAAGAGACGACGCGCTCAACGCCGTCTGAGTCGTACTGCATTAGCGCGCAGCCGATTGCAAATTGCTGGCGTCACAGACAACATGGAATGGTCTGTCCTGGTCTGCAATCGCCATTACAGGCGATCGCAGTAAGCTTTTCTTGATGCCTTCGAAGTAGTGCTGACACTCAGAGCTCCATGACCATTTCTCGTTTTTCTTTAACAAGCGAAAGAGATGTACAGGTCATCTCAGCGTAATTGCTAGAGTATTTGTGCAAATACGCTGCCAAGCCAAGGAACTTTTGAAGTCCCTAGACGTCGACTGGCACAGGCCAGTCGCTAATCGCCTTGATCTTTTCCGGATAAGGGCGTACACCATTTTTACCCACGATGCAGCCAAGAAGTGTTTTTTTCGTTCGCTGCGATTATACACTTCTTGAGGTTCGCGAACAACTTACACTCTCGCAATAGAGTAAGAACCTTCCTTACATAAATTCTACGAACCTCCACGTCCGTCTTTCCATCCATAGCCTGGCTGTGGACGAAGACATCGTCCAAGTAACTCGGTGTAAAATCGCGCACTGATCGCAACAGATATGTAACACATCCGTTCAGCGTTGCGGGGGCGTTACTTAGCCCCTGTGGCATCACTGGATACTCCCAGAGCATATTACTAGGGGTGCTCACTGCTGTGTACGGGATGTCATGTTCACGCATGAGGATCTGATAGAATCCATCCATCAGATCCATGGACGAAAAGATGGTACTTTTTTGCCATACCATCTATGATGACATTCTTTCTTGGGATCGGCGTTTGAGCCGGTACCGTTGCAGCGTTTAATTTTTCGAACGCGTGCACTATCCGTCACCTTCCTGTGGCGTGTCGCACACAGAAGTTCGGAGAGCTGTGTGGGGATGTTGACTCCCTCACATGGCCAGCCGCCTAGCGATCGGCAAGGAATTTGTCTATCACTGTGACCTGTTCACGAGGCAGCGGCCACTTCTTCATGATACAGTATCTCGAAGCAGGTTTCAGTTCGATCTCGTGTTAATTGCCTTTGTCCTTGGGCAGCTCGCATGGCACGGATTCAGGGAAAACATCCTTGAATTTCACCAAATCCTTACAAAAAGCATTCGTCTTCTAAGACTCCCAAGATTGAGACGTGTATCGCTCAATCCGAGTCTTCTCACCGAGGATACTTATGTCCATAGATGAGCTACTGAGAACCCGTTCGCTCTCAGCAAACAGTTGTGCCGACCGAATATGGGCGACGTACTCGTCCTCTGTGACGAGTATGCAGATCTGCTTGATCTTGTCACTACGCAGATTTCGCAATAATCTTTTAGGTTCTAGCGTTGGCAGCTTGACCACCTCCGAAGCTGACTTCGGGGGCGTCACCAGATCAAGTGTATAAGCGCCTACACTTGATCCGTCATTCACCAAGACATTCACTGTATCGGTGATTTCCTGGGAAAACACATCGGCAGGTGGTTAAGGATCCACACCCTCAACATGACTCTCTCGGGAGTTATAGCTCTCAGAAACGCTGTAATTTGCTTCCGCTACGTGTACTATCACGGTCACGTCCTCTTCGATCGACTCTCTTTCAGTCGAGCGGGCTAGCTCTACGATAGACTTTCTGATAGTCGATCTCGCTTCAACGTCTTGTCCATCCCGAACAACACTAATCTTTCTTCTTGGATGCACCCTTCTCGGTGTGCATCCGTACTCCAGTCCACTGGATCTCTTCGAGTGGTGAACCTTCGGCGTAGCCTATGTCTCTACACAGGTGCCGGAAGCTGGTTCCACAGTGCAGTGGACTTCTACACTGTGATCTTGTGCAATCGTACTAACGACCGTACCACAAGTGAGGCCATCGCACTCACTCGTAGTACATCCACACGCTTGTGGACGCTCCAAGACGTCCATCAGATGGCCATCCGATGAACAAACGACAGGCATCTTCACGGATCGATGCTGCCAGCCAGTCCATGGCTCGTATCTTCTAAGTCATGGCAGACCGAGGATGACATCAAACTTGTCATCCAGATCCAGTACGATAAAGACATCATCGTACTGATTTCCTTCTAGCGTGTAGTGGATTCCCACTACACGTTTGTTCACTGTTACGGATTCGCCTGTAGCAAGGCACACCGTCATCCTCGTTGGAGGGAACGCTCGCTCAACATAGTTGAGTCTACTATCCTCTGGCGGCTGGCGTCAAATAAAACCGTTCGATGACCCACAGTCAACTAGGGCGCGATGTGACACTCCACTTGTCACTTCGATCTTCAAAGTGATGAGAGACTCCTCCTCACTAAGGGCAGTGACACACACTGACTGTGTGTTGGGAGCAATCTTCGTCAAGAGTCCTGCAAATTCTCTTGACATTGCTGGATCAGCAGGGTGCTACGCCCCTACTGACCCTGACCGTTTCTTGACGGTCCGACTTGCTGTCGCGGTTAAACGAAATGGTCGGACCCACGCCTTAGACCTTTCTTGGGCCAACGGCGGTCATCACGTTCTGTCTTTGGACGTGTTGCGGTGCTTGGGACACTACACTCATGAGCTTAGTGCCCAATGTTTTGATAGCGATGGCATCTTGCCGTTCGCTTGTGACTCACAGAGCAAGAGTTCTCGCTCTTGATGTAACAGAGGTCCATTGTTTCGGGACCTCCTGTTTCCTGTCTTCTCGTCGATAGAGAGTTCGATTAGTTTGCCTGAGACTGTCTCAGGCTGGAGTCTTCTTGTTCCGCATACGCTATCGCCCTTTCCAGCGTATGGAAGTCCTCTCGGAAAATGTAGGTCTTCACTGGCCCACCCCACAGTGCCGTAGATGAACACGTTGATGAGCGTGTGCTCATCAACATGGCTCTCCGTCACGCTAATCGCAAGGTAGCGCAGGTGCTGTGCGTAAGCGTGCACGTCACGCTTACCTTGCTTTAGTCTCGATAGTGCAGAGCGTGCTCTGGACTCGGCTCTCGGCGGCTCAAACGTCTCTTTAAGCCGAGACTTCAAGATCTCCAACGACTCAAACACGTTTGGGTCGTGAAGCTTGAGCCCTAAGGCCCAAGTCTTTGCTCGTCCCGTCACATTTGACAGGGCGAAGGTGACTTGCATCTCGTCACCCTCGATGTGACGGGCCCTGATGGCATCGTCTAACTCGACGAACCATCTCAAAAGGGAATCTTCATCGGTTCCCTTGTACCTTGAGAAATCTATCTTCGAGGTTTCGGATCGACGCATGTGCGTCGTCCCGCCCATCGACTGATGAGATCCTTGCTGCTGTAGCAAGGCTAATTTCTGTCTTTTTTCGATGGCAAGTCCCCTTGTAGGAACTTGCTGATAGCAGCATGTTGCTAGTCTCTGCTTAGAGTCCTTATCATGCCAGTGATGGCGGGTTCGCCCATGAGCACACTCATGCGGCCGACTACCTCCCATTCTGAGTCACTCAGATGGGAGTAGCCTTCACATGTGACATGAAAGCTGTCCTCTTATACGTCCAACGTGTTCATGTCAGACGGACACTAAGTAGTGTTTGGACAGACTACAAAGTGCTACCGTGTGTAACGGGGCACCCTTTGATTGTGGTACCACAAAAATTCACGTGCACTAGTACGTGCAGAGGAGGTTAATTTACTTGAGCGACTCGGTCAAGTAAAGGAAAAAAGAGAACTGTATTAAATGTAGTTAAGCTATCAATATAACTTGAGTCGCTATCCAACTATGTTAAACTACGCCGTCGTATGACGACAACCTGCTCACCACTTATTGCGCGCGTCTAGCGGCGACTGGTGGCAATCTATGGTTTATATGTCTTGTATCAACCAAATCTTGGAGCAGCTCATGAATTTTATCCAAAAGGGGATGAAATTCCTTCAATATTATCCATCTCGGATAATATTGGTAGGATGTTGTCATGCTAGACAATATTCCTATTGACACCGTTTGGTGTCAATTTCGTGTAACGTGATACCCCGTTACAGTGAAGCTAATTAAGTTTGCGCAAGGTTGAATGCCGAATTTTTGAATTGTGCCCAGCGCTGCGTCTTTGTGTGCCTTTTTGTCTGTCTGTAAAGATGAGCGAATAGTGTAGTTTTCCCGTATACAGGCTACCTTGCCTATCCCCCCGTACGTAGGGTAGGGGGAAATTATAGCGTAGCTACGCAGCTCCTTAACTCAGAGGAAGAATTAGTGCTCAAAGAGCGGTGTTGGTTCTACAGAAATAGACTCTGTGAGCTAACAAGCGTAATGATTAAGGTCCCTGTTCCAGGGGACGGAGCGATTCAGTGAATCTACAGTTCTAGGTGCTGAAGAAGAGTCACCTCAGGGTGTTGTTGCTAGCGCTTAACGATCTACGATTAGGGACGCCTCGAAATGCACGTGTCTCGAAAAGATCGAAGGGAAACTGAACTTTATCTACGTTTAGCTCTATAGAATTTCTTAATCCAAATTATACCTAATGCAGGCACACATGTCCTTAATGATTATCTTTATCATCTTTCCTATCTTGTGACACCCTTCAGACCCTATGACCGATAAGAAATTCTATACCTCTTCTGTGGGATCCCATCCGTGTGTCTAACACACGGGGTAACGATTACCCTACGATGTGTAAACACTTTACAAGCAAGCTTCGGAGCATGTCCTTCAATCTAGTTCTTTCAGTTGAAAGAACTGAATCAAGTTACAAAATTTAACAACGGCATACACTGAAGAATGAATATGATGCCGTCAATATCTGCGGTAACACAGTACAGTATACTTGGGCAACGCGATGAACCCTTTATTAAGGAGTGTACAGTATTTTTGTATGTGATCATATTATAATGTGGTTACGCATCGTAGGGTACTCGTTACACCGTGTGTTAGACACACGGGATGGTATCCCACTGAAGAGGTACAGAATGTCTCTTCGGTTTATTAGGGCTGACGATTTCAGCCACAAGATAGGAAAGATATAAAAGATAATCATTAAGCACATGTGTGCCTGCATTAGGTATAATTAGGATTAAGAAATTCAATAGAGCTAAACGTAGATAAAGTTCAGTTCTCCTTTGATCTTGTCGAGGACACGTTCCTTGCGAGGCGTCCCTGATCGTAGATCGATCGTAGATCGTTAAGAGCTAGCAACATCACCCTGAAATAGCTATTCTTGAGCACTTAGTACTGTAGATTCGCTGAATCGCAGTCTCCTGGAACAGAAACCTCAATCGTTACGCTTGTTAGCTCATAGAGTCTAGTTCTCTAGTGCTAACATCGCTATTTAAGCACTAAGTCTTCCTCTGACTTAAGGAGCTGTGTAGCTGCTCTAGAATGCCCACCTTTGATTGATTTTCAATAAATCAGGTGCGTGCATCACAATGTGACCGAGCCATAGAGTGAAACCGATTTGGCTAATCGACCAATCAGGGAGACAGGCTAGTTCGTTTTTAGTACAAGTGAGGTGCACCGAACCGCGTTACTTACAAACACAAGCAGACGCATAGATAGGTGTGATCTAGAAGTTCGGCATTCAACCTTGCGCACACTCACCAATCGCATCACCTCTCGGGCTCGCAATAACCGAGGTCACTCTTTGAATAGGTCATTACTCTTGTGTACGATAGTGACCTAGGCTAAGGGTGATTTCGAATTCTTGTGATTGGCTTCGAATCGATCAAAGGTGGATATGATCACTTAAGGAATTGCTAGATTCGTAAAAGCAAAGGTCGATCGCGTTGCCTTACCTTACTGAACTGGGTCGATATAGACATTAACGTCATAATACTCTTTCTTCAGTTAATCAAGTTGTATAGTGTTTCAAACTTGATTTGTTCTCCGACTTGGGTTACTTATATCAAAATGCGAGCTCCAGAGCTTGCTCCCTATCTTTTGTCGACAACGTACCCCTGACCAGCCCTAATCACACAAACACAAGAAAAGAATGCTTACACATGAGCCTAACCATAGTTTCATGCTCAGCTATTTCCGGTATCCGTTGTAGCCGTAAATAGCACAACAAAATAATGCCTCCATATGTGCCCCAACGTTTTTTCGTGTTCAGCTATTTCCGGCGTCTATTGATAGTTTCCAAAAAAACTACCACCTGAATCAGACGCGAGTCCGCTTTGCTGCTCAAGAGTTACCTCTCCCGCGAAAATAAATTTGCTGCATCGACACCGATCATTCGTACACCGGTGCGCGTCAAAACTGCCCCGCGTCCTTCCTTGTTTTATTCCGGTGGCTCTGTGTGTTGTAGCTTGCTCATCCAAGTCCAGAGCACGTGTGTGACCGCAGCGCAATCAAGGATTACCATGTCCCGAAGTCCTACTCGTTGGCGAAAGCCTCTGTGAAGTCTATCTAGCTTTTGCTGTACCATGTGTGTTACGGGACAGCCGGCTGGTCAACACTTGCGCTCTGAAGAGTGTTCGTCAGCCGTGATGGGTTGCGTTTCAGCTGATGCGGTTGCTCTAGTCGTTGTGCTGCGCTTCTGGCACGATCGACGCGGTGTTTCTCCTGTGCTTGCAGCTGGTATGTTCGAACAGCGTGCGGCATAAGATTGAATCGTGTCGAAATAGGGTAGTAGTGCTTCTGTAATGTCGAAGGTAGAGAAAGTGTCCACGGCACACAGCTGGCATGTCTCGAGTCAACATGTGCACAGGTGGCATGACCAGTGTCTACATGCGGACGGACGAGTTGGCATGACCAGTCTTCGTTGGCGGTCCAAAATATCGGAGAAGGCCTGGGTTAGTACTCATCCAGTTTCCAATTTTCTTTGTGCTCGGCAGTAGCAGCAAAGTCAAGTGTTGTTTACGCTCGATCCCGTCCAAGGTCCATTCTTCTGCATCCTACTGCTAGTCTTGTTGTCCAAAACATGAACCCTACCAAGATAATCTCTCACCTCGTACTCGTCGCGGCTGCAATGGGGTCGCTCGCAGAAGCTGGCAGCTATAGCAGCTACAGCCAGCAGACCCAACAAAGCAGTCTTTCGAATAAAGACGCTGACCTAAAGACCACGGGCCCAGACAAGGTGACCCCTGCGTCGAGTCCAAGCGCTTCTGCTGGAGCTTCAACGTCTGTACCTGCACCGAACACTTCCGGAGCGGGTTCAGCACCTCTCTCGAATCCGGACAGCAACCGACCGGGCGTCCTACCTGTATCCTCTACTCCAAGCAGCAGGAATAGCGACGTGTCGGTCAGTTCTCACAGTTTCAGCTCGTCTCAGGGCGGTCGGAACGATGCTACTGGAGACAACAGTCCTATCGTACGTGGAGGTGGTGTTGTTGTAGCTGGCGGTGCTGGTGGCGCCATCGGAGGCGGTCTATCAGGTGGTGCTCGAGGCAATGTTGGTGGTGGAGCTGGTATCGGTGCTGTCGGCGGAGTTGGTGCTGGTGCTAGTGGGGGAGTGCGAGACGGTCTCGGAGGCATTGGAGGCATCGGAGGCGGCATCGGCGGGCATGTTGGAGGCGGCGTTGGCGGTTCAGTCGGTGGTGGAGCAGCGGGCGGAGTTAATGCTGGAGTTGGTGGCGGCATCGGTGCCGGTGCAGCTGGCGGTGCTGGTGGCGCCATCGGAGGCGGTCTATCAGGTGGTGCTCGAGGCAATGTCGGTGGTGGAGCTGGTATCGGTGCTGTCGGCGGAGTTGGTGCTAGTGGGGGAGTGCGAGGCGGTCTCGGAGGCATTGGAGGCATCGGAGGCGGCATCGGCGGGCATGTTGGAGGCGGTGTTGGCGGTTCAGTCGGTGGCGGAGCAGCAGGCGGAGTTAATGCTGGAATTGGTGGCGGCATCGGTGCTGGTGCAGCTGGCGGTGCTGGTGGCGCCATTGGAGGCGGTCTATCAGGCGGTGCTCGAGGCAATGTTGGTGGTGGAGCTGGTATCGGTGCTGTCGGCGGAGTTGGTGCTAGTGGAGGAGTGCGAGGCGGTCTCGGAGGCTTTGGAGGCATCGGAGGCGGCATCGGTGCCGGTGCAGCTGGCGGTGCTGGTGGCGCCATCGGAGGCGGTCTATCAGGTGGTGCTCGAGGCAATGTCGGTGTTGGGGCTGGCATAGGTGCTGTCGGCGGAGTTGGTGCTAGTGGGGGAGTGCGAGGCGGTCTCGGAGGCATTGGAGGCATCGGAGGCGGCATCGGCGGGCATGTTGGAGGCGGCGTTGGCGGTTCAGTCGGTGGCGCAGCAGCAGGTGGAGTTAATGCTGGAGTTGGTGGCGGCATCGGTGCCGGTGCAGCTGGCGGTGCTGGTGGCGCCATTGGAGGCGGTCTATCAGGTGGTGCTCGAGGCAATGTTGGTGGTGGAGCTGGCATCAGTGCCGTCGGCGGAGTTGGTGCTACTGGGGGAGTGCGAGGCGGTCTCGGAGTCATTGGAGGCATCGGAGGCGGCATCGGCGGGCATGTTGGAGGCGGCGTTGGCGGTTCAGTCGGTGGCGGAGCAGCAGGTGGAGTTAATGCTGGAGTTGGTGGCGGCATCGGTGCCGGTGCAGCTGGCGGTGCTGGTGGCGCCATTGGAGGCGGTCTATCAGGCGGTGCTCGAGGCAATGTTGGTGGTGGAGCTGGTATCGGTGCTGTCGGCGGAGTTGGTGCTAGTGGAGGAGTGCGAGGCGGTCTCGGAGGCTTTGGAGGCATCGGAGGCGGCATCGGTGCCGGTGCAGCTGGCGGTGCTGGTGGCGCCATCGGAGGCGGTCTATCAGGTGGTGCTCGAGGCAATGTCGGTGGTGGGGCTGGCATAGGTGCTGTCGGCGGAGTTGGTGCTAGTGGGGGAGTGCGAGGCGGTCTCGGAGGCATTGGAGGCATCGGAGGCGGCATCGGCGGGCATGTTGGAGGCGGCGTTGGCGGTTCAGTCGGTGGCGCAGCGGCAGGTGGAGTTAATGCTGGAGTTGGTGGCGGCATCGGTGCCGGTGCAGCTGGCGGTGCTGGTGGCGCCATTGGAGGCGGTCTATCAGGCGGTGCTCGAGGCAATGTTGGTGGTGGAGCTGGCATCAGTGCTGTCGGCGGAGTTGGTGCTGGTGCTAGTGGGGGAGTGCGAGACGGTCTCGGAGGCATTGGAGGCATCGGAGGCGGCATCGGCGGGCATGTTGGAGGCGGCGTTGGCGGTTCAGTCGGTGGCGGAGCAGCGGGCGGAGTTAATGCTGGAGTTGGTGGCGGCATCGGTGCCGGTGCAGCTGGCGGTGCTGGTGGCGCCATCGGAGGCGGTCTATCAGGCGGTGCTCGAGGCAATGTTGGTGGTGGAGCTGGTATCGGTGCTGTCGGCGGAGTTGGTGCTGGTGCTAGTGGGGGAGTGCGAGGCGGTCTTGGAGGCATTGGAGGCATCGGAGGCGGCATCGGCGGGCATGTTGGAGGCGGCGTTGGCGATTCAGTCGGTGGCGGAGCAGCGGGTGGAGTTAATGCTGGAGTTGGTGGCGGCATCGGTGCCGGTGCAGCTGGCGGTGCTGGTGGCGCCATTGGAGGCGGTCTACCAGGCGGTGCTCGAGGCAATGTTGGTGGTGGAGCTGGTATCGGTGCTGTCGGCGGAGTTGGTGCTAGTGGGGGAGTGCGAGACGGTCTCGGAGGCATTGGAGGCATCGGAGGCGGCATCGGCGGGCATGTTGGAGGCGGCGTTGGCGGTTCAGTCGGTGGCGGAGCAGCAGGCGGAGTTAATGCTGGAGTTGGTGGCGGCATCGGTGCCGGTGCAGCTGGCGGTGCTGGTGGCGCCATTGGAGGCGGTTTATCAGGTGGTGCTCGAGGCAATGTCGGTGGTGGGGCTGGCATAGGTGCTGTCGGCGGAGTTGGTGCTACTGGAGGAGTTCGAGGTAGTGTTGGAGGTGGTGTTGGAGGTGGTGTATCGGGTGGATCGGAACGTGATCTTACGGGTGGTGTTACCTTGGGAAGTGAAACAAACGTCTCCGGTCCTACTGATGACAGTGAGGAGCTGCCTACGGTCGATCAGAAGTCTGAGGAATCGGACTCACCGACGACCCCGTGCCCCGATGGCAGCGGCAAACCGCCTAATGTCGACCAGAAGTCTGAGGAATCAGAGTTGCCGAAGACCCCATGCCCTGATTCGGCCTCGGGTACTCCGCCCGTGAAGTCCGGCAAGTCCGATGTCTAAACCCGGACACTATTTTGCTCGTGCGGTGCACCTGTGAGACGCAAGTTACTGGTGGCACTTTATGGTACTGTCCTGAGTAGCGTACGATAATCCATAATTGTCACAAACCAAATCCATGTTATGTTGTTAAGAGAGTGTGCTGGTAGTGTCCTGCAAGCTGCGCTCGTACCGTGTCAGGCTTGCCGGTGAGTATACGATCTTGGTACGATGATCATGATTGTTGAGGCGCAACGACTTTGTCCGCACGCGTGACCCATGTCTTTGGCAGGTGTGTGAACTACTGCAACGTCCAGAAGAACCGCAAGCAAAACCCCAATGAGATTAGCACCAGTTTATGCAGCTCAATCTGAAGACGTCCGCTTCTCCTTACCATTCTCTGCACCACGTCGACTTTACCGTCCATTTTTCTTCAGTTTCCTCGGTACGCTACACGGTCGCGTCGTTTCTGGACTTGTGCCTTGCCTTGTTTATAGAGCAGTTTCCGGAGGCAACATACGGACTTCAACATCGCAACAAGAGTGGATGCCGCGTCCACAGCTCCTCCTCGGATCTAATTCTTCAGCAGATGGTGATCAGTATGGACAAGCATCGCACAAAGCTTTGTGGTGCGCGCTCCGGCAACTCACCGTATGATCGATTGTTTGTGTCACATTCTCATGTTGGTTTCGCTCATAGATAATTGGCTGTGCGTCTTGGTCTGCGCATGGCTTTGCGGTATACATCTCGGTACATGTCATACAAGACGTAGGTTTCAGGACTAGATCTGCCTGTACAAATGCAAGCAAACACACTCTGTAAGCTGGTGCATGTACGCGTGAACATACGCGCTTGGAAAGCGACGACACATCAAGATCTTTGCACACACGAACGAGCCCCAGCTTACTAGCATGGGATGGGTAGGAGCATGAATGTAGCGGAGCTACACAGCTCCTTAAGTCAGAGGAAGACTTAACGCTCTACGAGCAACTTAGTTCCAAAGAACTAACGACTTTACGAGTCAGCAAGCTTTACAGCTTCAGATCCCTGTTCCAGGGGACCTAACGATTCAGTGAATCGACAGCACTTAGTGCTCAAGAGTAGCTACCTCAAGGAGGTGTTGCTAACTCTTAGTGATCAGAGATCAACGATCAAGACGGCTCGCAAGCCACGCGTCTTTCAGATCAAAATGGGAACTGATTTTATTTAATGTTAAAGCCTATAGAATATCTTAATCCTACTCAAAGATCTTTCGTATCTAATGGCTGACACTTGTCAGCCCCTACAAACCGATAAGATATTCTATATCACCTTCACAGAAGCGAACCCTCAGGTGTGTAACACCTCTGGTACAAAGTACCATGATTTCGTGCAACCCCGTTACACCCTCCCCCCACCAGACTGACGTTTACCCAAAACGTCAATCGAACTCGTATTCTCAGCGAGAACAGTGCGCGTACGGTGAACCTCACGGTAACGTACGCTCTAGCACGATGTCCTCATCACCAAACGAGTCAAAGGCTCTGTGTGACTACCTCGGAATAGAGGAAGAGGTGGACTATGGTAGCGATACCAGTGTCCGCGGTGACACAGGGACAACGTCCGGCTCACTGATGCCTGAGGCACAACTTTCGAACACCCCAAATCCGTTCGCTGAACGTGGAGGTGCGAGCGCGCCGCCAGCGCAGCGTGCAGCATCTGGGTTTGATGAGACTATCATCGCGAACCCGCTCGATGAGCAACAACAACTGCTTGTTCAAAGAGAACAAAACGCTCAGCGTTATGCACAGATGACTGCAACCCTTGAACGCCAGCGTGATTATGTGTTCACCCCACCCAGTGTGGAGGAACGTCTGCGTCAAGCGGCCGGCCAAACATTGGCAACGTGGGTCATTGGCCATGGGCCTAAGACTCCTGAGGAGGTGGTGAGCTGCCAGGCACTTCGTGAGGAGGTACCTGGAGCCGCACCTAACGACTCAAAGTCAATACAAGGCACGCCTTGACATGCAAGCACGTGGTGCACCAGTTCCACCGATGAAGGGTATACCCATTCTCCTGCTCGCAGGCGAAACAGCGAGTGAAGAAGACGATGCCTTTGTTCACTGGGTGCACTATGTGCGTCGCCTCAGCAACATTTTTGCTCTAAGGGCTAGTGCCCATGCGGCGGATGTGCGTCTCGAACGCAAGCTTCGGTATGATTATGCCAAGCTTAAGGCCAGAGGCCAATTGCGCAAGCGCACGCGCTATGCTTCGGCTACTAAGGTAGCCGCGAGTGCTGGTCAGTCTGTGACCAACAACCCGCCAACCCGCACCACTAGTGGTGGTGAACGGCCTCGGCCTCGCGATGACCATGGCCACGATGCTCAAAAGCCTCCAAAGCATATGGGCAGTCTTGCCGAAGGGGTACCTCAAATTCCCATGAGTTTTCAGACTCAGGGTACCCACGCCACTTTACCAGATACTGATATTGGCCCTGACGACGACGTCGTTTCAGTAGTCTCTCGACATGGAATTGACGACACCCATGCTCATCGAGCAACGTCGGTGGCGGCCGGTGTACCGGTGGAGGCCCACGAGAAATTGGTTCTCGAAGTGAAGGGTCTTCAAGCGGCCTTGGGTAAGTCCCAGTGCATGCTGGATGCGATGCAAAACCGCCTTCAGGCGATGGAGCAAGCTCAAACTCGGAGCGAGGCTCAGTTGGACTTGCTGATTCGTCTACAGCAATCCGGGGCGGTGCCCTTGTCGTCGGCGCAAGCGCCTCCAAGTTCACATGGGAAGGATCCCGGTACGGCTTAAGTAAGCCTACGTAGAACACTGGATGTGTGCGCAATTTGCGTGGGAGGTTTAGCGTATACGCAAGTCCCCTTTTGGCCGTGACCGTGAACGGTCCAATAAAGCGTGGACGCAACTTTGTCTTAAAGACAGCAGACACTACATTTGTAGGTAGATTTTTAGCATTGAGTAGTACTTGGTCTCCGACCTCATAACGTTCAATACAATTTCTGCTTTTGGCATCAGCTTGTTGTTTTTGGGTATCTTGGCTATCAGCCATTGCGTCACGCACATGTCTTAGGACATTTAATCGCGTTGCGAGAAACTCGCTTACCTGTTTTTGAACAGTAGCAGGGCTGATATCAGCAAGCCGATCGGCAACCTCTCCCCCCACCAAGCCCTGATTCACGTAGTGATAGCGTTAACGGAACGCGAGGGTGAGTGAGACCGTTTATATAGAACGGAGTAAAGCCTGTTGAGGCATGAACAGCGTTATTCAATGCAAACTCAACAACAGGGAGCATTGAGCTCCAACGCCTAGGCGTATCAGCGCAAATACTGCGCAAAATGTCGTTGATGACGCGGTTTACACGCTCAGTTTGACCGTCGGTCTGCGGATGATCCGGCGTGACATTTCCAATCGAGTGCCAAGCACCTTGAAGATAGACTTCCAAAACTTCCCAGTGAAGCGGGGGTCTCTATCAGAGATAATTGCCACAGGCAAGCCATGTTGGCGAAACACACGGTCGATAAACAGCTTTGCTGTACCTTCCCACATCGATGCTATCCGGCACAGCCGCTAAGTGAGCCATCTTGCTCAATCGGTCAACAAAGACCACAATACCAGTGTTGCCTTCCGAATCTTTCGGTAGGCCAAACACAAAATCCATGCTCATGGACTCCCAACAACCACTGGGTACTGGCAAACTAGCCAGCGGCGCCGCCGCATGTGCCGAGGGTTTTACCCGTTGACACGTTTCGCACGTACGCACATAGGTGCGCACCCACTTATAAAGTTTGGGCCACCAATAACTTTGGCTCACCGAGCTATAAGTCTTCTCACGACCGAGATGACCACTTAAAGCAGTATCATGTGCCTCATAGAGGATCCGATACTTTAATTCCTCATTATGAGGTACTACGATACGAGGGTTGTCCTCAATATCCGTGCGATAGCACAATAGGCCATTATCGATGGAATATCGATGTAGCCTCGCACGTAAACGTGCCGACAATTCTATGTCCGAGTCTTTAAACTCATTGCTCCCAAGAGCACGTAGCAAAGCTACACACTGATCGTCCTTGGCATATGCCGCACGAATTAAGTCAGGGACTGACGACGACAGGGTCGTAACATGAGCAAGCTCATAGTCAGGTCGACGCGATAGCGCATCAGCCAAAGCGTTTTGCTTACCTGGCTTGTACTTCACCTCGAAGTTATATTCGGCAAAGAAAGATAGC